CTTGTTTATAAGCTGCTTCTTCAGGCCCTTCCCTTGCTGGATTTGTAGAGAATAGGAGGGGCCAGGCCATGAAGGGAGGCACAGGAGCATATCATCCTAAACCCCTTCAAGAGTAGACATGGGGAGGCTGGCACAACAGTGGAGGAAAGACTGGAGTCCTTGAGGTCATCTTCCAGATTCATCTCTGGTTCCCAAGTGTAAGTTCTCTGCTATTGTTTGTTCGTCTTTTCAAACCTGGCTTCTGTCCCAAACCAGCCAGTATGAGCAAGTGCATAGCAGAGTTCAAAACAATGATAAACCCTCCTGCTATAATGCCAAGTGTGTCTTTTTCTATACTCCGTGAAAGGGGAGTGTGTCTTTCTGACCCTGCCTAGTAGGTTAGGAACTGAGACCTGAGGAGTGAAATACTTAAGAATGTTGATCCCTTTATAGCTGGTTTCACTAGATTTTGTTTTTTTACAACCTCAATTGCATTAGCCAAAGGATTTGCCTATGAAATAGTCTGCCTAAAGGAGCTACTCATTTTTTTATGCCTTATGTTGAAGAAGTCCAATCCATTCTCTGTCAGCTGAATTTGATTGGCATTATTCCCTTGCTTTGGGATTGGCAGAGAGTGTATTATAGCCTGTCTTGGTTTGAGTCAGACTGTTTGCATCAAATTTAGAGAAAAATCAGTCTGGTTTACTGTGCTTTTACCACAAGCACAAACATCCTTTATGCCATTTGTTTGTTTTGTTTTTTTAATAAGGGTGTACATCTGTTAGGTACTGGACTCCAAAGAGTTCTTTGATGTTCAGTAAGTCACCAAGCAGCCCTCTGATAGTGAAAACTTTTTGTTCTGGCTTGGGCTGAATATGAATATAGACGTGCACATATCTATTACCAATCCCCTGAGTTATCTATCTCCTGGTCTTCATTTGCCTTACTGCATCTCAACAAACAACGGGAGTCTTGCTTTGCAATTAATGCCAAGCAATCAAAGACTTTGGCACATAATCCTGTGATAACCAAGGAGAGCTCAATCACTCAGCAATGGCTGTTTGTGAGCTGGGTTGCTAGAGCTGGAATAAGCAATGATTACATGTTTTTTTCCCCTCTTCTAAAGCCTACCCACACATCTCTTTTTCTGTGTCTCTTCCTATGTGTCAGCCTTTTGTCAGTAGGGCCTTTAATCTGCCTGGAATGAAACATGACAGAACTGAAGGGTGGTGAGAGTGGTGAAAGAAGGAAAAGTAGGAGCACAACTCTTGCATACCAGTGACAATAAGCATTTATTTTGTTTTTCCCCTTAAAATTCTTATAGTCTGCCAGTAACAGCTGACTCAACAGATATTGGGTTTTTTGTTCCCCCCTTCCCCCTTTAATTGACTTTCTCTGCAAGTTTGTTAGGATGAACAGCTGAATATTTTATGTTGCTACAGTAAAAGGAAAGCTAAAATGTCAAGTGCAGGACAAGTTTTTGCTACAAATAGGATGTGTTCTGAAATCCATATGTAGAAGAGGCAGTGTCATTTGTACTATCAGTGTTGCAACCTTGGGTGATTTATTCATAGTACTTGGAGGGTTTTTTTTACCCCCTTAAACCGTCAGGTTCTGGGAAATAGTAATTCATGGGAATTTCAATGTGCTTTCTTTTCTAAGTTTGTAGATTTCCTGGTTGTAGAGAGATGCTTTGGAATGTGACACCTAGAAATGTGAAAAACAGAAGGCACAGAAACCCTGCTCCCCCCTTATGCCCCAAAATGTATTATTTTTTAATGCTGTGATTTTTAAGTGAGTCTTATGACTGATTGGGATCTGCCTCCTAACTTGCAACCACTTTGGGTTTGCAATACTATACTGATTTATAGAAGTTTACCCTACCTGGGCCTGTGGGAAGAACCTTTATTCTTTCTGTTTGTACGTGTGCGAAATATATGGAATGGAACATATCACTGCCAAGATGCTTAGGCTGTCTCCCTAAGCAACCTTCACTTCCTCCAAAGATGTGCAATGAGAACAGATTCCAGGGCCAGCAGAGCTGGGCATTAGCAACTTCATGCTGTGCGGGGTCAGGGTTGGTGTGGCATCCCTCTTCCTATCCCTCTTCCTTTGGAGATGCTTTTCCATACCTGGCTCCATCCATGGCAGGGATAGGAGTTACTTCTAGTGGTCTGGTCTTCCCAAGTACAGGAAGCTCCAGGACTGCAGAGTGCATATGGCTCTGGCTTCCCAAATTTCCTAGGGGATTTGTGTGGTTCCTGGATGGGCAGGCTAAGATATAGGGCAGACCTTGCCCTCTTCCCCTGCAGGTCCTGTGAATGTATATGGGAGAAACAATATACGAGTAGCCTTCCTTCAGATTGGAGGTATTACTGTGGAGATGGAACTGTCCTGCCTTTTGCCATCAGCTGCATCCTCAGTAGTGTCCTCCTTTGAGGTCAAGTAGAGTTGTACATAAATGTCTGAGCAAAGATTGTGATCCTAACTGTGATAACTCTGAGATTCCTGTATTAAATACACAATACTATAACCCACAATGACTTTCAGTCCTTTAAAAATAGCAGCTTAAGAAGCCTGTACATGATTTACTTCCATCAGTTTGGAAACTTACAATTGAGTCATCCCTACCATCTAGTCTACATCACCCGAGTGTAATTTATTTTGCTTTCATATATCAATATAAATTACATTGGAATCCAAAGCAAGCAATCTAGGGTAACTGTTTGCAGTAGGTGCTTTTACAGTGCTCTGCCATTTAGTAGTGGGTGAGAAGGTAATAATCTGTTTGCCTACAGGAATTTACCACCCTATGATAGCTGTGAACACATGATGACTATACTCATTGAAGTTATACCAGTATCATTTTACCCCTGCATTTAATCAGGATAATGATGCACAGGATTCAAGTTAAGTTACACCAATGTAGGACTACTTGCTCCATGTCTGTTCCTTGTTTACACTGGTAAAAAGGCTGATTCCACCAGGGCAAATATGCCCTATGTCTAAGCCCCAAGAGACTGATCAAAAAATACAATGGGTGGAAAGTGCTCCAGTGTTCTCAACCCCCTCTGTCATTCAGAAGCCACCAGTGATAACTACAAGTTAGTTGACAAAGTACATTCCGGTACTTTCACTCTGTTTGGTGATTTCTCTGAGCTCAAAATGTTGTGGTAGGGTCAGGCTTGCATTCAGACCCTACTCTCCAAATGTATGTATAGAGAGTTGATGGACCAGTGAAGCCAACCCTTGGGATTTCATTGTAAACCCTGAAACATGGGGCAGGTTTTCTGTCTGAAAGCACCAGCTCCCAGGTTCACTTGCTTATATGAGAACCTGAAATTCAACATATAAAACAAAGAAACAAGCAGATGATTTTTAAGCTGATTGATCCCAAGCCAATTTTTTAGGCCTTACTTCTACCTGTCTACCATACCATTAAGACACGTTACTTTTGTTCTTTGTAACATGGCTAGAACTGTCCCCAAAACCACAGAGGGGGCTGCTGCATCTTGAGGCACATTGAGCTCAGTAAAGAATTTTTGGTGAAAGTGAAATTTTGGATTAGGTTCAAAGTCTCTGTTTGGAAGGCAGCTCACTTGCACTGTCCAAGCTACCTGTTATACCCTTGCCAAATCACCTTTCTCACGGTAGCAAGAGTGAGGACAACACAATTAGCCCTCTAGCTAATACATTTATTCCTTCATTTATATGATAAAACTAGTCACTTGCTTTTGATAGTCATCGTTTGGTTTAAATCTCAACAGGAAAAAAATGAGCACAGTCCAGCTCACTGGATTATCTGCTATCCCACAAAATTGCCTGATCAGTGGGATATCAGGTCTTATTAATCTTTCTGTAACATTAAAGAAATTATCGAGCTTACGGCACTCACTAATGAATCAATTTTAATTTATGGGCTAAAATGAAATCCTCATTAAAGATGACAAACTGTAGCCTCAGGTAAACATGAAGCATTTCCACTCCAGAGCTAAATGAGAGTTCTTCTCTGGCTGCTGCTGCTTCTGTCAGAAGAACAGTAGGGTCAGAGGTCCCATGTCACATCAGAGGAAGCTGCATCTTCAAGAAAGGATCTGCAGTGATCTAGCCCTGAGGAGTTCTTTTTCTGATGTGGAAAAGGATGAAATCAAGGACTAATTACATTGTCCTCTTTTTTTTTTCTCTCTTTTTTCTTTTTTTTTTATAACAAACACCAAGGAATTTTCTATTTGGCAGTAGTGCTTACTAAATAAATCTGTATCTGAAATCCATTAAAAATATCAGTGAGCTGTTTTGCAAAGGTATGTAGGGCAAATGTATATTATGAAGCCTGGATGCACATGCAAATCATTCAGGGCCAAGAATCAGGCATATGCATTAAATGGAGGACACATCTCAGGACTCAGTCCTGCAGCTGTTTATGCATGTAAATGACTTCACCTTCATAATTAGCCCTGCTGATTTCAAAGAAGCTACTTGTATGCCTAGGGTTGCTTATGCTTCCATGTCATTGCAGAATAAGCTCTTCCATGAGAGAAAGCTCATCACTTGCGTTTTGGAAATTCATCGTATCTCAAGAGTCGCATCTGTTTTGGGAACAGAGACAGTCCTGTAATAATAACTTGGCCTAATCCCTTCCCAGCAAACATGAGTGCACTGTTATGTTTGGGTATAAAACAGTGGTTTTGTTCTTTAGACAGCTTCTTTGATGATAATTGTTATGATTGCCAGTTATCTCTCTGAATTTGTTTGATATAGCTCTATTTAAAAGCATAGTGTTGATATAAAAATGTATATTTACATTTATTTGTGGTGGTGGTATAATTAAATCAGACTTTTTTAAAAAATGCATATTTCATGTGTGGTTGCTTTAATCTTTTGGATTTGCAGACCTACAGGGGAATGTTAACAAAATTGAATACTATGTTTCATTTCTAAGGGTGGAGAGGAGAAACCATATTTGAGAAAGTTGGCCATGCAGTGCTCTCTGTATTTTGACTCTCTACATCTTTGCCTTTCAGATGCAGCAATCGCACCCAGTGTGCTGTGGTAGCAGGCCCTGATGTGTTCCCAGACCCCTGCCCAGGAACATACAAGTACCTGGAAGTGCAGTACGAATGCGTCCCTTATAGTAAGTATATTGATATATTTTCACTTCCTTAGGATAGAGATCTCATTTTGCTTGAAGATTAGGTCAGTCTTGAATCAACTGAGTTGCCCCCTTGGGGAAAATAAACCACAAGTGACAAATTTGGGTAAAACTGGGTGCACAGTACAAGACCTGATTGGTCAGTTTTGAAAAATGTCATTCTATATGAGTCATGCTCACGTTTAAAAAACACTACAAGGAGAATGAGACAGCATGGCTAAATGGATAGAGCACTGGCTTAGCATTCATGTCATCTGAGTTCTACTTCTGGTTCATCCCTTGGGCGTGGGTAGACAAGTCTATAATCTCCTCATACCTTGTTTTCCAATGCATGGGGATGGTGGTTGTGACCTTCTCTTGTAAGGCACTTCGAATCTACAGATGAGAAGCGCTATATCAGGATGAGGCTGTGTTATTAATTAGCATTTAATTGCTCATTATAGGGTTTTCTGCTTGTAATTTTATAACAAAGTCTTTCAGAGTGATCTATGTGGTTTTAATTAGTGACATCTGTACTGCATCTCCTTACTTTTACAAGTAAATAGGAAGGTAATTTATTGAGAAATATAATGTAGATGGTAGGGATGACTAAACTGTAAATTTCCAAGCTAATGAAAGCAAATCACTTACAGGTCTCTTACGTCCCTCTCTTTTTTTTTTCTTTTCTTTTTTTTAAGGGTGGAAAGTCATTAGGGGTTATAGTATTATGTATTTAATAGAGGAATATCAGAGTTACTAAAAAGAAAAGCACACTTTAGAATTTGTTTTTCACCTCAGCAGGGTGTATAGCACACAGTTACAGTCCTGCTGTCCAAAATTGTATATTTTAGACAGAAATAATAAAAATAATATGTTTCTGTTAGAAGTAAGAAATAATCAAGCCAGGTAGAACTGAACCATTGTTGGGTTTTTTTACGCTAAACAAGAGCCATGTAGGAAATTTCCATTCTTCTCCACCATAGCACCAAAGTCATCTGCCTACAGAAAGCAGAGAGTTGGATTGATAAATAGATCCTGGACCTGTGCTTTGAGCCCAAGCCACACAAAAATGAATGTGATTTGGAAGTGGCAGACATGATCCCCAGAGGAAAAGTTTCAAGGCACCTTACTTACGTTTACAGTCCTCAAACGGGATGCATCTCTCATCAGCAAGGTGGCTGCTTGCTTGCTATGGTGACATGAAGAGTTGTAATGTGTTATGGTTGTCGAGTGATGGTTGGAGAGACAAAGGATGCAATTAAAACAAAGAATTCCTAGTCCCCATCCCTGAATAAAAGTGGCTTTCTATCAAGGGACCCTATGTCTGTCTTTGCCTCCTGGGGAATGTAGAAGTCAATATTGCAGCCATCCTTGCTTGATTATTAAAAACAAATGCAAGAAAAATAACCCAGGAAGCTGCTAGATGCAAAAACTGATGACTTCTGTCATGGGGGACCTGCTGAGGTCAATGGAAAAAGGGACTTCAGTAGGAGCTGGATTAAATGTATAGAACCTTATCCAAAATTACTAGGCTGCCTATTTGCAGTGCAGCGTTTCATTTAATTAAAAAAAAAAAAAAAAGTGTGTGGGGGTATGCGTGCGTGCACGCGTGCATGTGTGCATGTGCACATGTGTTCTAGGGGTTGGTTTTCTACTTATCATATTGGGTCATATTTCTTCAGATTGTGAATTGCGTGAGGCATATTTTCCTCCTGAGATCATTCTGGGAAAGAACTAGTCATTCCCAGCACCTCTCAATAGCCTTTGTTGCATATATAACAGAGAAGAATAGTGGTACATTGTTAGAAAGGTATTATGTGAATATTATGCCCTGAGGTGTTAATCGGTCTTATATGCAAGATGTAAAATAACTCTTGTGGTGGGTTGTTCAGTTCCAAATGTACAGTAGGGATTGAATGTTTTTAATGATCCAAATGTGAAAAATGTTGCCTTTAAAATCAGGTTAGGGTGTTGTATGGCAGTTTGTTTTATTTATTTATTAATACCTGCTGCAGTAATTTTTATTTTCTCACTGCGGGGAGGAGGGAAGATTTTTTGTGAACTCTTTGACAAAATATCCTGGATATCATTCTGCAAAATCACAATGCTTTTGATCAGCGTTTTGGGCCAGACTCTAGCCATGTCAATCAGTGTAGCTTCATTCACTGAGGGCAGAGGAACTACACCACTTTGCATGCACACTTGCATGTGGGTGTGAGTGTGGGTGTGGGCACATGCAGGCATAGGGCAGGAAGACCAGAACTTTTCTGTTCTGCCTCTGCTCCTGCCTGGCTGAATTCATGTTGTCCACTTCTGCAGTAGTTTATAGACATGATTTCCCTTTGCCTTCTCCTGCTGCTTGAAGTAGGTAAAACTCATTCAGTAAATAGTAAAAGCTGAGGCCCTGAGAGGGGATGTGGCTTATGCAACAAGCATATGTCAGAACCATGCTGGTAATCCGGGGTGAGATTCATCACAAATGTTAACAGACCTGGGCTTTCATCTCAGCTTTCTTGACTCCCAGTCTTCTGCTTAATCCCCTTAGCATGCTGCCCTGAGGAAAGTTGGTGTATTTTTTTCCTCTGGCCCAGATTCCTCATCTCTGGAACAGGGATGGCAGCACTTTATTTACCTAATTATCCCGAGCATCCGCCACAGATTCTTCTTAATTTGAACCCGTCACACCAGGCTCATCGCTGGCTTAGAGAGGTGTCAGAGAAACGCATATCTTCTCTCGGCAGACAAGCAGGCCAGCTGTTAGACCAGTGACGCTGTTCGTGTGCGTGCTGCCACTACACCAGCTTGAAAGGGAGAATTTGGGGAAGGCGATGCAAGGTCACTATTGTAGCAGTCTCCAGCAAGCGAGACCGCTGTGTGTGTGCAGTTCTCAGAAATCAACCGTGAAAGCAAGTGATGAACAAATGGCCAAGCAGCTCCTCTGCCTTCCTCACATCCCTGATTTCAGACAGTGTTAGTGACAGCCTGATGTGTCCAGGGCAGTAAAATACAGAAGAGGGCTTTGCCTCAGATTCTTCCATCAGGTCACATCTGGTTTTGGCTTCGCTAATTTGGGTTTACATAGTTTTAACCCTTTACAAGTTCAAACAGGCTTGCACAGCATAGCTGTGTAGACCCCAGTTCCTTGCCTGGCTATTTGTCTAGGTAAAAAGGCTGGAGTTGGTAAGCAATTCACTGGCATGGCTGTGTTCAAGATCTTCTTTTATTCAGATTTTCATTACTGCTGGACATCTAGGGCAATGGGACCTCTCTGAATGTAAGCTTTGCCATATGACGTTTTGCTAAAGGAATGAAGCAGTTACGTAATTAAGGCATTAATGTTTCATCAGCCCATTCCATTAGAATGTAATCTCAGCCTGCTATATATAATTTGTTGGTTTACTCCATAAGGTTTCAAATCACTGGCTGCTGTTAACACAAATATTTGCTGAATAGCAGAAGAAAACTGAGCCTATATTCTAACAGGGCCGCCTTTGGGAGTTACCTTGAGCATGATGCTCTAGCTGACCTTGGTCATGGATGCTTAATACAATGCTATTGCCCCTGTTGTAATGGAATATTTTCAACTTTGTTGTTCTTCTTTGCTCATTTTAAAATGACTGGTGCATCATCCTTCCCAACCACTGTGTCTTCCTCCAGTCCTTTTGCTTTTGGGGGATTCTGCACTTAGCAAGGGTGTAACAAAGGTGGCTCCACTGCAGTCTTCAAACGGGAAGGGTGGGATATATGCCACAGAGGAGGCAGAGAACATCTGCCCACACAGCCTTGGCATCTGCTGCTCCTCCAGGCTTCCCATGTGCTCTGGAGGATGAGAAGCTCAGCTCTCCCCAACAAATAGTTACAAAGAAAGCGGTTTGGATGCAGCTCTCCCAAGAAAAGAGGGTTCTATCTTTCAGGGAGTTAGTGAAGTGAAGTTGCTTTTATCATGTCTGTACAAGGGGGCTATCCCAGCACAGCATCTGTCACAGCAACGGTCCAATCCAGCTTGTTGATTTTATGTTCATGTCTGTCATTTAAACGGGATTACCCTGCTGAAGAACTGCCAGGCCTTCCTCCAAATTGTCCTCTTTTTTATTTTTTTATTTCAAGGCAAGGATACAGATGCTAGCAGCTGTTTTTAAAGAACTGTGGCACATGTACAGTGTCACTGACCTACTCTAAGCTAGTACGATAGCTACGGGCTTGTGACGCACTTGCTGCAAGCACCTCCAAGAAATCATGAATGTAATGCAGGGTGTTCTGAGTCAATCTAATGAGCCAAACTTTGCTAAGGGCCTTGTTACCTGTTACACTGTGAGCTGCTTAAATGTTGATTGGTGTTGGTGCTAGCTGGAGTTTGCAGCAGTCACATGTTCAGGCCTGCAGAGCCCTGAAGGACTGAAAGGTAAGAATCTCCCCCTTCCCCCGAGTCCTATCCCCTTCCCCCCTACCTGTACTGTCTGTCCAGAGGGAGCAGGTAGGGAAGAGTTAACCTGCCTGCCTGCCCTCCACCACGGCCACTGCTGAGCTGCTGCTGTTCTCCAGGCTGAGCATGGCCCACAGAGTAGCAGTGACCAGGCATGCAGATTAACCCTTCCCTGCCTGCTCTCCCAGGTCAGACAGTGAGCTCAGCCACAAGTAAGCAGGGGTGTGGGGAGCTGGCAGAGGATAGTGAGTGGGGATCTGGGGTGCTGGGGGGAGGAGGGGGGAAGATTAGACCTGATCCAAGCCAGTGGGGAGTGGGGGGAGGGTGTTCACACTAATGTGTAGCCTAGAGTGCCCCCAGATTAGTGGAACATGAGCTGGGTAACATGGATCACAGATGCCCTGGAGGGCATAACTTTAAGGTGTCTAAAGAGTGCTTAAAACTAGGTTCACATGTTAATGTGTGGACACTCCAGGGGTTAGGAGCTCCAGGAGCTGCCCAGTAGTAACATATAACAAGGAAGTAAGCTACTTTTGACCCAACATGCAGATTTTTTTTCCTGTCTGCTTTTCTGTATAAGGATTTAAATGTTAAAGGAAATAATATTATTGAGTAGGTTGTTAAGTTTGGGCTTGATACTAACACCCTTGCCAACAGAGTAGCCTGCATGCCTAAAGGGCCAGCAGAACTCAGTGTTGCTGTAAAGGTGATGTGCTCCTCTTGGAGATGGAGTTGTCCACGGCAGCAACACAGCTCCCATAGGGGCCAGACATACCTGGGTGGAAAGACAAGCTAAGAGTAGGGGATGCCCATGAACCTGCGGGGTCGAAAGTAATTTCCCCGTCAAGAATCAGATTCCCCAAGGCTGAAAGACCAACCTTCCTTCCATCTCAAGGCTAGAAATCCCCAATGGGGTTTCAACAGAGGAAAGTTATGCTGTGAGACTTGTCTGTTATAAAATAAGCAGGGGGAATGGTTATAGTTTCTGAGGTGGAATAAACTGCCCTTGCTTTTCTCTCTTCTGGCTAAACAGGGCTGGCAAATATTACCAGGGAACCTTATTCTTCTGATACATAGACAAATTTTAATTTTTAAATGCAGACCTTGGGGGAAGGAGGAGGGAAGGGAGAAGGAAAGCAACACTTAAGTACTGTTTATCTTTTCTTTAAAGACTGTTTTATTTTGTTTTTTAAAAGATGCTCAATTCACATTTCCCAGTTGCCGTATTGATGAAAGAAAAGGTCATTTATTTGCTAGAAATACTCTTTTTATTGCTGACAGAAGAGTGGATGGGCGTACATATCAATAAAAGTGAAGGATGTTAAGTGTGATGTGGGAACAGAATTCAATAAAGTTTTATTGTATCACAAGTGGACAGAAGTGCATTTAAAAACATTAAATGAAGGCTCACAATATCTGCTCCACTGGACCTTAGGGCCAGTGAATAGGCAGATAATTGAATAATGACAGTTTTAAGAGAATCCAAGTGCTAGAAAGCAAGCTGATATGTTCATTGCTTTAAGATTGCTGATGGGGGGAGAGGATGAGAGAAAATTGCAACCTGAAAACAATTTAATGAGGCCACTTTTTCCAAGAATGGTGTTCTTAATTATTTTGAGTTACCTTAAGATCGTTCTAAGCCCTGCATTTTCCTCTCTTTCTCTCCTTATTCTGATTTGGGTTTCCTTGCCACAATACTTCACTACCATGGTTGAGAAGCCATGCTTACCAGCTCTCAAAGCAATGACAATCATTTATTAAACAAATGGGCTTGTGGTTTCTCCATATACTTTTCCTCTGGGTTATTCCTTTTTCGGGGGGTGGTCCTGGTCCACTGGGCCCTGACCAGAGCAAAGGACAAATGTTCCCAAGAGGTTAAATGCAGC